ATCTGGCCTTTCACGCTTTATCATATCCACTAGCTTATATTCTTTGGGATATGTTCATCATCTGCTATCATGCTGGACCACATCGTATCCCACATTGTTGAACCCGACGTTCACTTTACCCCACATACTGGTGGCATCATTCTCAAAGAAATAGATTTGACAGAAAGCTTGACTGTGTTAGTCCTATCTCAGTCTACTCCTCAATGCGTCATTGATATTGTGCTGTAAACGACCAGAATGGTCTGCTCCGTGCATATGATTTTAAAATCGTTTCTTTAAAAGTTTCCAATCTCAGTCTTAAAAGGTTTTGGCGCCTGATAGGCTAGGGTTTGTATTTTTTAGATAACTTGAATTGTATTCGCTTATCGTCCTAGATTACAGTCATCAGAATAAAACTTGACCCATTTAAGCGAATATGCGAGTCCCAGGTTCTTGATACAGAGATTGTGCAATAGTTCATTGCCAGAGCAAGGTAAAAATAAGCCACAGAAGCACGAGACGCTGCTGCTACTTTTATGGGTGTGTATCGTCACAGAGAATTGAAATCGACTTTGATATGGTCGGTTTTGTCGCCTGCACGAACGACTGGCCTTCATTTTTCACAGTTTCCATCATTCGGTATGAAGGCTCTAAATTACCTGTGTCATGTATGCCGGACATAGCTAACAGGCAGCATAAGGAATGGGACCGGCAATGCCCGATAGACAGGCAGGTCTATGAAGTAACTACATGGAACTACGGATGAACGATTTTGAAACTATGCCCTGAACTTAATTCTAGGCCAATGAGCTATCCTCCAAAATTAAGAAACGGTATTTAGAGTCTTCGTTTCGCACAATTTTCATGATATTTTCTTCTACGTGATCTGTCCGTTGTAAATATCTTCGACAAGGATAGCTTTTTTCCCTGGTCTGTGACCATAACGCACTTCACTTGATCTAACTACTGATAAACCTGGATAAGGAAGAAGGATTGTCGAACACCGGATCGAGCTGGCGCCGGCGTATAGAGCCTTGCACAGTCACCTGCAATCACGCCGAGATGTCCGTCACAGTTAACTGGCCTACATCTTCTTGAATTACCCCCACTTTCCTTGCTGACGCCCTGAATAACGTTGAAAGCACTGACGAATAATTAACGTATACCTCTATAATTGCCTCTCCCCCTCCTTTTTTCATGTTGTTGTCTACCTCTTTACGACCTGACAACTCCTGACAGTTGCTTGTAGTACACTCACTATAATTAGCCCTCTTTTTGTTGTTGTTCCTTTTCTCTGACGATGGATTCTTGTAAGAGTTCGAAAACTCAAGATAATAAACAAATCGATCCGGTGCTCGATAATCCTTCTTCCTTATCCATGCAAATACCTGGAACAAGAACGTTTTCGTTGTTAGGCCGTTTTGGCAGATTTGCTTAATTTAGGTGACCCAGTTGTGAGAAAACTCGCGGCGTCTGCGCGAGTCGAACCCGCACAGCACGGAAGGGTATTGCGCAGCCAACGCTATACCGATTGAGCTGCGACGCACGCCGTACGCCGTACGCCGTGAATTTAATCACACGTAGATCGATTTTAACCGCCCAACTTACCACTCGCACGGAATCCACCATTGCGGAACAGCAAACTGACTGCCCAAGCAGGATTTCCTAAGTAATCATCTAGAATCCACCAGAATGACTACCAGGCTGACTTAATTGTTTGGGAGTTTTGGCAGATTTGCTTAATTTATTTGACCAAATTGTG